GGATAACCTTTTATTTTGGTATTATTTAATACATTTTCCTGTTTAAAGGGGCTGGGCACATCTTAATACATAAAAACAGGTGTCATAAAAGCTTTTTCTTCCTTGCTCTGGTCAGTCTGAAGGCTAACCAGTAATCATGCTGGATGACAACACACTCCATGTAAAATACTTATCTTTTTGCTGCTGTCTTGTCTGTATGCTTCTAAACTTTTTAAACCTGATTTTGTCCTTCTGTCTGGCTTTAGAACATTACTGCTATGTGCCTAAACCCTGTGTGAAAGTACAACTTGCAAATAAGGACTCTTTTAAATAAAGAGATCTATGAAAAGACCAAGCGGGCGTCAAATGTGAGGCTCCATCTGACCAAAGCTCACTGTCTCAAACAGAATCATGAAACGGTTTCAGAGGCAAACGAGAGCTGGAGGTTAGGTACAGTTCTTCAGCAGAGCCGGCCAATAGGCCAGGTTTCGACCACACCAGAAATACTTTTGCAGAACTGAGTTTCGGGCCTGCATGCAACCATTATCTATTTGTGTCCAGCTGAGCCTGTTAAACAGACGCTGAGGGCTGAACCACAGAACATGAACTGTAACTACACAGCTGTAGCTGCTCGTTCCCATGAAGCTCAGTTTGCCTTATCTTTTACAAGATGAAGGTTTAAAAGTCATTCTGTTGAGATGAATGACTGAACAGGCCAACAAGAGGACACAGTGAGAACTGGTTCCGTCAGTCGTTGAATGGGATTCTGTTTAGGATTCGATCTGAAAAATGCTGCAGTGATGTTCTGTTGATCTTCCAAGATGCTGGAATCAGCTTCTAAATATCATCTTTACATAACTTAACACAATAAAATGGTTATAACTCAACCAGTTTGACAACTATTGAGCTAAAATGTGGTGTAGCCAAGTCTGATTCCCAACACATACTCTGAGATTGACATATTGTGCAATATTGTTGCTTAAAACTTTTGTTTGTTAGCAAAATGTCTCCTGAACCACTGGATGGTTTTTAATGAAACTCTAAAAAACTGAATCATGGTTAATTATTTTATTGAGCAACAAGATGATTCCCTCTGCAGGAGTCGCTACATCAAGCAAACTCCCACAAGAGACTTGGCAAGTTGATGCTGGATGTTCTTAACATGTCTCTTAACTGGTACAGGCAAAAGAGAGCACATTACTCCAGTTCTAGCCTCCCTTCACTGGCTCCCGGTCCACTTTCAAATTAATTTTAAAATACTTCTGTATGTTTTTAGTCATGCCCCCTCCTATCTCGCTGATCTGCTGCAGCCATATGCAGCACTCTGAGGTCAGCAGACCAGATGCTTCGATTGGTTCCAGGCACTGATTTTAAGTCTTGTTTGAAAACGCACTTTTGTTTCTTGGCTTTTGACAGTGAGTTGATTTTAACTTGTCTGTATTCTATAATGTTAGCCATTTAGTTTTTATCTTTACCTGTTTGTTTTTGTTGTACAGCACTTTGGTTGGCCTTGTTGCTGTTTTTAAGTGCTTTATAAATAAAGTGTTATGCTCAAACCTGCAAGACCACAGCACTGTCCACCGAGCTACCAGGGGCCAAATAAAACATACGAGTGCAGAGAATATAATTTGCACATGAAAATGAAGCTATTTGCCGTCAGTTTGCAGACCTTGTAAACATGTTGGGTCGTACCGCTGCGCCGACACTCTGCATCAATCTGAACGTCCGTTTATAATTCATACGGCTGGATTTGTTGCACGTGCTGGTCCCAGGTCTGCCCCCAGCACCGACACGGCGAGTACTAACAATAGTGGACAAGCACGGCTCTCTGCTGCCCATCACAGTGCCCATTATTATAATATATTCAAGGATTAAAGGGCTTTTATCTCGGGCAATCATGAATTATAAAGACTGCACTTCAAAATTTAATTGCTCTGAATTAAATGATTTAAGATAATGTTTCTTTTATAAATTCCTAATAGGGCCAGGGGGTAAAAGAAAAGGGAAACTACACCCAATAATCCCTCTTCTCCCTCAACAACAGATGACAGGAGAGGAACAATAGATGGACTTTGACCTTGAGGGGGAAGAACAACACCACACGCAGCAATAAGAAATGGACGAGGTTTAATCTCTGCTTCTTGGGTGCTGACAGCATCAGGACCAGTTAGATCCTGTTCAGCTGGAGTACAGCGTCCCCTTCAGGATTTGTTGAGTCTTAACGTTAAAGCTCACCGTCCCAGCAGTCTAAAGGAAATGTGAAATTAACTGTCTAAATGTCTTAATGAAGCAGCAAACAAAACAATAAAAGCACAAAACTGCATTAGAAACACAGATTAGTGATGTCAGAGGACAAAGTATCTGAAACTTCTTAAATGATCCCAACCTCCATGTTAGCCAACATCAAAGCTCGATGGCAAACTTTCTTTTCGTTACTTGGATCTACAAACGTTTTTAAATATAATCATATTAAACCCATTTAACCAGTAATTAATAAACTGGCAAATAACAGCAACACTTAACGTCCTTCACAAAATAGGGAATAATTGCATCAAAACTGATCTATTGACATCAACGGACCCAATATAGTAAAAAAAAAAAAAAAAAAAGTCTGTACGAGATTGATCTTAATTAAAAAAACAACTTGAATGGACGTTGGAAGTGAAACAAAAACCCCAAAAAAAGTTAGAGTTAAAACAGAACTAAGAAGTTAGAAAACAAACCCCCTTAAGGAAGCTCCTCAAAGGCCAACGCAGCTTTATCATTTTTATTGCATTTAAAGTTTAAGAAGTGTCTGAAGTTTTGAAGTGAAGCTGCTGATGAGATTAAAGATACGCTGGAATTCCTCCAAGTCAAAAATTCTGCACGCACAGCAATAATCCAATTCTTTGCGCTAAATGTTATTTGTAAGAGCTGCTGACAGGATACCCCAAAGTTTTAATGATATTTAATGAATGAAAACCTCACATTATATACACTGTTGGGATGCATTCAATTCATTTTACACAAAGTTCATCATATATTACAAACCAGTTAATATCAAGAAATTTGCATCTTTTATTGCTTTGCTCGTAAATTATGAGTTTTATTTCTTAAAAGATGCACATTAAAAGTGTTTTGATCAGTTTGATAAAATTAGGAATAACATGAAAAACTGGGCTGTTCTGGATGGAACGTTGTGAAATGCAAACCTTCATGGAGTTCTCATGTCTTGAATGTCGTAAAATGTTACATCATGGGGCAAAAAACACGACCAACAGCTCTTTTTAGATATCTAGTCTTCTATAAATGTAGCCTCAGTGTCACTTGTTTTAGGATTTAAAAGATAACTTTTCGGTTGAAAGGCAACATTTCCACCAATCAGTGAACATCCTTTGAGCAAATGATACAGCAACTTTGTTCTTACTGGTTCCCCACATGCTGGAAAAACTACAATCAGCAGTTTATGGAATTTGTCTTGGAGTCAAACTTCTTCCAGAACATGAAAAGAATCCTTCAAGACAAAAGTATCAAAAATCTCTCAGCTGCTTTGGATTAAATTTAAATTTATTTTCCACTATTTAGGAAAATAATGTAACTGTGCAGGCCTTTCAAAATAAGACTCAAAGAGATCTGTGGTAGATAAAATGTTATTCTGGGATGATTTAAACAACTTAATTTGTAACAAATTTAATGGAAAGCATCACTGTACCGCGTTATGACAGTCCTGATATCCCGTCTCTTTAAGCAGTTAAATAGTACGTTTTTTAACATTTTGTTCTGAAACTATTTAATTTTCTTTGGACCACAGAGAAATGTGTTGAAGCCACTCCATGAATCACCACAGAGGAAACAAACAGCATGTGATGATCAGGTGCAATTACGGTAGCCACCAGGCGTCCGGCAGACAGGAAGTACCGTATTTTCCAGACTACAGAGCGCACCCGAAAATATAAAGCCTGTGCACTAAAACCAATAAAGTTGTCGTCATCTTCAGTGTCAAAATTGAACAGCCTCAGAAAAACATCACACACGTCAGTCTCTCTTTTGCTGTCGGAAAAAATACAGTAGCCTGCCAGGAAGTGATTGATCGATATCCATCTCTCCTCCCTGTTTATCACTGGTTTGACTGCAACTTGTTCACTAATTTCATTGGTCAGATTATTATTTTTTTTAACCTTCGTTTAAACAGGTAGTTTCACTGAGTCACGAGGACCCACCCTTCCAAGAGAGACATGTACTGGGCAATGTGAGCGCCCGGGTGTAACAAATTTAAAGGTTTTTAGTGGCATGAAGCTCATTAGCCCGTCAAAAACAAAAAAATCCATAAATTAGCTGCAGCATTGTATAAGCCGTGGGGGTCAAAGTGTGTAAAAAAATAAAAAATAGCAGCTTATAGACAGGAAATTACGGTAGTTGGGGAACCAGATAAAAGGGTGTGCATAAGGTTTGGTGAATGAGCAAGCAAAATAAAAATCAAGATCCAACAAAGTCACCGAGTTTGTTCTTCAAAGACAAACGCACAGCAGCTTTCTTATTTTTTAAATGTCATGTTGACAATTCAAGAAAAGAAAAAAAAAAAAACTCCAACTGGGAAACAAAATAATCACACAACATTCTTCTAGCTCACTGAGTCCTCAGTGCTTAATATGGCTTTATCAACAGCGATCCTCCTTGGTTAAAGATAATCACTGAAGCTTTACATACACGATACATTCACAGAAACTTCTCACTGAGCAAAAAACATTGTTCACTTCAGTCCGGCTCACTGAACCACGGGCATCAGCTCAAACACGTCTCATAAAATGTTTTTTGAAATGTCTCTTAAACCGAGAACAAAGGGAGGGCAGTGATTGTTGCACAGCAGCACAACGAGCCAGAAAAAAAAACATGATTGTCAACTCAAAACATACTGAACGCATGTTATGTTACATACATCATGTACGTGGAGACAAACGGCTGCAATAAACCAACCGACTCGCACAACTGAAGAGGTTTTAGCTTTTTAAAAATAACCTCCAGTAGCTGCTGAAACTTCCCCGTGTTCCCACGCTGTCGGCCTCAAACGGTTTGAATGAAAATGTATCTTTAAAACTGAAGCAAAAGCTAATTTTAATCAAAACGTCTCCTGCGGAAGCAGAGAAAGAGTTTAGCAGCGGACAACTAAAGATAGCCACGCTGGATAAACGCACGGTTCTTTTCTTCTTCGGCTTCTATATTTCTGAGTCACTTACGAGACGCAAAAATAAATAAATAGCGTGAGCTGTGGCAGAATAGACTTATTCACTATCTTTGGGACTGTCTTCAGTTCGATTGGCACTTGGGTCAGCCGTTCCTGTTTGACCTTTCTGGTCTGAAGCGACATCTATTTTGCGAGTCTCCTGCTCCGTGTCTCCGTTCGCCTCCGTACCTGCCTCGCAGGTCAACTTCTCCCCATTCAGGAGGCGCTCGTCCACCTGGATCCCCCGACTCTCTTCCACCTCCTCCAGCTTCCGCAAGATTATGGGAAGCTTTCCATCCGTGTCGTTGTTTTCCAGCAGAGCGATATCGCTTTCCTCGAAACGAGGCAAGGCAGCTCCTTCCTCCAGCTTCTTCTGGAAGTGCAGACGTTTGGTCCGACCCGTGGCCGAGGCCTTCTCCAGGATCTGCTTCTCTGCCAGGCGGAGCTGGGTGGCCAGACGAGAGTGAAGAGAGAGGTCCAGCTTCTCCAACAAAGAGCGGTCCTCCTGCAAGGAAGGAAAGATGTCAGACAAATTATAATAAGTTCAATTTCAAATATTTGATTTGTATAAACTGGTTCCATCTTCAGTGTCCAGAATGCACTTTTCCAAATGGATTTTATGAAGTAAACCCTTTTTTTTGGGGGTCAAAAGGCCTGGAATTGAAAATACCAACCTACCTACAGTGTGGTGAGTATTATCACTAGAAAAAATATTTTGTGTGGCTGCAGCTGGGCATAAAAAAACTGCCGCTATATATAAAAAAAAAAAGGGTTGCCATGTCAAAATTCAAGATGGCCACCGCCATACCACGTCAATGATTTGAAGAAACTATGCTTTCTAGGCTTTATTTTTTTTTTTAACTACATTTCCTGAAATGATTGGGCTGGCCAAGACCCCCATTGGCCACCCCCTGGTTCCGCCATTGTGCCTAGTGGTGAATAAAATGGCTCCTTCCACTCACCAGGATCCATCACGCTGCTCTTTCTCAGAAAGGAAAAACAACTACCTCCATTCTTCTCCACAGTGTAACTCCTACCCACCTGAATATTGTTTGCACTAAAAAACATTAAGGTCCAGTTCCAGTCCAGAAAAACACTCATCTCAAAAACTACAAACATTCATCATTTAAATCCCTCAGGGAACATCAGAAAACTTTTTTTTATTTTTTTATGTGGCAATACATGAAACTGACCTTCACTAATAAGTCATAATTTTTTTTCCAAAGCTAACAGACATTTTTAAAAAGGTTTTCTTTGAATGATTTAAAACCATCATTTGCACCGTTTTAATCAAAGTTTGTTCGTTGAACACACCCAACATTTCAGCGTAGCCTCCAGCAGACTGACCTCAGACGTGGTCTTGTAGGTCTTGAGCAGCAGAGCAGCTCGATTCTCAAGGAAAGTCCACAACTTTATCTCGTTTTCCCAACTGACAGGAAACTCGCCGTTACCCAGAGTGAAGATCTTGTTGATGGCACGATCTCCCAGAAGATAGTCCTTGAGTTCCTCTGAAATTGGGATGAATGTTAGAATCTCCTGTTCACAATAAACCCACAAAATTAGGCAAAAGACGGCCTCCGCTTTTACCAAACTCGAACTGGTTCATATAGATTCTGGTTGATAAGGAGAGCGGATGGAGACCACAAGAACTCATTTTAACAGATAAACAAGCGCCAAATACTTCCGCAACTTCTTTGTTATATGACTTTAGCACCAGAGTTTGGGCTTCTAGAAACTTAAAAACTGAGACAATAAGGCTCCACTTATAGGTGGCTAATAAGTAGTTTATATACTGGTAAGTTATTAATTCCTCTAAACACTATAAATCATTAACTGCTTATTATGCATTATTTGAGAAAGAGACTAAACTGACCAGTTTATGCCAAATCTGTTCACCTATATATTTCATTTAGAGCTGTTTTATTAAACATTTCAGACTAAGTTACTACCTTGAAAGCACAATAAGCATTTGTAAACCTATTTTTTAGCATTTAATATTGTACTGTATTGCTGCATTTAAATGACTAATGATGCACAACTAATATTATATTCTTAAAAAATAGGTTTACAAATGCTTATTGTGCTTTCAAGGTAGTAACTTAGTCTGAAATGTTTATTATAACAACTCTAGATTAAATATTTAGGTGAACAGATTTGGCAAGAAACTGGTCAGTTTAATTAATGCATAATAAGCAGTTATTAATGATTTATAAATGGTTTAAAGAGGAATTAATAACATATCTATAAACTTATATATATCTATAAGGGGAGCCTTACTGTAAAGTGGTACCAATAAAATAAATAATAAACTGCATCATACTGCTAAAACTGTTAAAATCTGACAGCTTTAATCGTTTTCAATATTCATTTGAATTTGTGAACAACCTTTAGAAGAGCACACATTTTAGATGAATTTATTGTTGAAAAATGTATTAAAAATTACCAAAGCATATAAGAGAACTTCCAGCAGAATTATATTTCTGTAATATTGACAACAACCCTTGAAGATGCAGTGTAGTTCTTTTATTAATTACACATGCAGATATCCTGCAGGATCCAGAGAATACCGAAGGTCTGAAGCCCGGCCGTCTTCTTGTAATACTCTTCATTTGTGACCTGATTCCTAATCAGACTTTGGAAGGTCTAATAAAGCCACCGGGGGCCTAACCTCACACTGCTGCTGCTCCGCTCTCCAGACTGGAATGTTCAAAAAGCACCAGTGGAAGATGAAAGAGGAGACGTGCGGTGCCCCAGTTGTGTGAGCACACTTTTCCATCATGTCACATCTGTTAAGAAATGTTGACACACTTGCGCACGTGCAACGAACGATAACCCTCACGCTCGGAACCGAAGGCATTGGTGCAAAAAAAAAAAAAAATTAACATGCAGCAGAAATCTGAATAATAAATCACGCAGGGTCCTGAAAGTGAGTCCTGTGACGGAGGAGGATGTGGCCTTGTGTGACGGGGGATTTATGACATCGGTGCCTTTATGCAGATGAATACTGCAAACTCCACAGAGGATTGCTCCTTCCACACATCTGGTGGCCTGCCTTGATCAATTAACCAGCTCAGGAACGGACGGGCCTCGTTCGTCCCCAGCGACTCCTCTTGTTCCACATCGTCTTCATCTCTTGTGGAGGAAGCAGTCACGAGACGACGCTCGAAATATAAAACATGCTTTGCTGGTTGTGGCCAGGTTGGCGGCTCAGGGATGGGTGATGTCCAGCAGCTGGTATTTCATGGTGCGTTTGTGTGTTTCTTACCCTCCGTCATGCAGAAGACTCTCAGGAAGGCCAGCATCTGGGCTGAAATAGGAGATTCATTACAGTGCAGGGCAAACACACAGGACCTGAAAGTGAAACAGAACAACAATCAGATTCATGGAGGCAGAACAAAGCGCTTCTGAAAAGACTTTCTGTAAGAACGAAGGATCAAAAGGTGAGAACGCAAAGAGAAGGAAACCTGGTAAAATGTGGCATTTTCCACATAAAATAACTCTTGTATAATAAAAATGGTCCTTAATGCGATGCCAAAGATCTTCATTTTGTCTTTGACATGTGATTTACTGATGCATGCTGATAGCATGGCTGTTTTCAACATGACCACCAGATGTCCCCATCTGATCCACACTGGACCTTTAACATCATGAAAACAAGTTTATTTTCATACATCCAATTAAACAACTTTTTAACTGATGGCTGAATATGAGCACCAGTGACCCCAAAAAGAAGAAGCGGGTAAAGATAATGTCTGTTTTGAAAGAAAAAGCCTAAATAGGTCACTTTATTGCCCTTAATGCAAAAAAAAAAATCAAAAATAAATAAATGTTCAGTTACCAAACTTTTGCTGCAAATATAAAAAAATTGTTTTTTATTCTAGATCATCTTTACATTAAGTCCATTTTTGTTAACAATTTAAGCAAATACATTTCATTACAGGAACATTTTTGTGACTTTTCTTAAAACTTTTAGGTCTTTCCTGGGGACAGTCCAGCATTACGGTCAAGTTAAGATTGAAAACGTTTGTTTATGAAATACAAACATACATTAATGCAAATCGTTACAAGTTAAAAACGCAGCAGAATATTAGAACTTTCTTGTGAGGTCTACGTGAGCATGCAGATGAACTCATCTCAATCAAATCTTTAAGTCTCAACTGCAAATTGCTACAGATTGACAGTTTTTGTTTCAGTGACGTGATCCGTGTGGTAACCAGCAGCACGGTGTTGCATTCTTCCCATTAAATCATCCCTCAGTCCAGTCCTGCGCTCTTCTTCAACTCGCTGCACTGTTCCAAAGTTTTCCCCAAAAGAGACGCGCATGTCATAAGGACGATAACAGACACGTGACACGTCAGCCAGGTCTGACTGGGAATTTGAAAAATGATCTACAATTTAATCTCATTTAAATCTAACAATTTAATTGAGTGCTGCGGCAACAACGGGAATTGTTTCGCTTAATTTCCACTGTTGAGATTTAAACCGTCATCAATAAGAGATTAAAGGGTTCTGATTAAAAATGCCGAGCAGAGAATGCTGCATAAAATTAAAGGGCTAATGATAAAATGATTAAGCTTCTTGATGATGAAAGTGTTGGGGCGGATTACTTTTTTTTACTTGGTGGGGTGGGAAGTAAAAAAAAAAAACTAGAGCAACATTTTTGTTGCGTGCTTCAGTTCTGCCAAAGCGGAGTCTAACTGGATGAATCGTCTCCTGTTAAAGACAAAACGCAGCTTTTACAAAAAGGTCCTGAAGCTTTTTCTGACCTAAATTAAAGGTTTCAGCCTGAACTTACAGACTGAGCAGAGCAAGCAATAAAGGAGGAATGTTAGTAAAAAAAAAAACAACAACTCATTATTAGAAACAGATGGGTCAGACTCACGCTGGGATGCCGGCTCGGGCCAGAACCTCAGCCTTCATGGCGTAAAGACGTTCGCTCTTACTGACACCCAGCTTGATCTTCACTCTGTCGTGGGCGTTGTCTTGGAAGAAGAAGCCATTGTGGATGACAAACTCGGCATTGGATCTTGTACCGTAAAAGATGTAAATCTACAGGAAGATGACAATCCTTATTTACAATGACAAGATGGCTCAACACAACCCCCACTGCACCATTTGGACACATTTGATCACTACTGAATGAGTAGGTGTGTCTTCATGTAAAGCACTGTTTTTATAAAAACAGACTGGGCTTTATATGAGGAAAACACCGTCTTTTGAATCTAATTTTACTTTATTTTGTGACACAGTATCAAATACGGCGCATTATACGTCTGTCGACAAACTATTATACACCAATACAGCCATCAATAGCAATGACCTGGTATAACCTTTGACCTTGGAGCTGAGGTAATGAAAAGACTACACATGTTTAGTGGTGGTACAAATGGATATAAAATTCCATTAAATGATCTTGAGCGGATCAGAAGTTGCGGGCAGGACAAACAAACACCTTGTTTTAATTTTGACCTTGATTTGTGACCTTGATATTGGGCCTGGGGTGATGAATAATGTACACAACACTCAGTCTAGTGATGATGCTGATGTGTATCAAGGTCTGTTAAATTATCTTGAGCGGATCAGAAGTTATAGGAAGATGAGGGAAAGTTTACGGACGTATGGAGACTATACCATAATGTCTGCTTTTCTACAAGTGGAAAAAAAAAAATATATATATATATATATATATATATATATATGTGTGTTATTTTGGTCTCTCTTTAAATGGATGGATTTATTAAAAATAATAACATGAACTGTAGAGAATCCCACAAAACTCTATCTTAAATTAGGAAACAAAAAACAAAAGGAGGATGTGTTTAAAATAACTTCCTTAGCCTTTCATAAAAATCTTACAGAAATAAATCATTTAGGGAAGGAACTCCTGGTTCATCTACATGAAGTGTCTCACCTGTTCGTTCTCTTTGTAGTCCTGCAGCGCCACACACTCGCAGCGATCGTCCTCCAGGTTGTAGCCTGTGGTGATCTGCAGAAAGAAAACAACCGACCGATTCAACTAGCACTTAATATATTCACTTACAGCAAAAACACTACGATTTATTAATACATTCTTACTAAAGTGTTAAAAAACTGAAGCAACAGTACTTTTTACCATATTCCATCTCATCACAACACCACGTTAAAAGGGAATGTGTGGCTTTTTCCACATTATGTAAAATAAATGTATAAATCTGGATTAGTCTTTTAATTGATCTGAATCTTGTTTTATTATACACAGTGTAAACAATGTGTCTGCATGTGTGTGTGTTATCAGCCTTACCAATCTGTCTGTGTGGTTACACATGTCTCACAGGGGGATGAGGGCCAGAGTGACCCGGCTGCTGTTCTCAGTGGGGATCTGGTTGTGGCAGGTCATCAGAGGACACTTGCCCACCTGTTACTTATTCCTGGTCCACAGCTTCTATGACTTCTACTCTTCTTTCTCTTTATCCATTAGCTCTTCAAAGTACTCTTTCCATCTTCCCATTACACTCTCCTCACTCATTAGTACATTACCATTCGTATCTTTAACTAGGCTAACCTGCTGCACATCCTTTCCAGCCTGATCAGTCTGTCTTGCCAATCGGTACAAGTCCTTCTCACTCTCTTTAGTGTCCAGTCTCCCATACAGCTCATCATACACCTCTTTGCTCTACGTTGCATCACCTTATAGTCTACTTGTGTGTGTCATCAGCCTTACCAGTCCGTTTGTGTGGTTACACATGTCCCACAGGGGGATGAGGGCCAGAGTGACTCGGCTGCCATCCTCAGTGGGGATCTGGTTCTGGCGGGTCATCACAGAGGACACTGCCCACCTGTTACACAAAACCAACCAACAAACGCTTGTTAACCCTTTGACAGACGCAGGAGCACACACACATCTGAAGCACTAATATGTTTAAACTGGGAATTAGAAACATCTTCCTCTTTAACAACTGGAACTTGGAAATAAGACAAAGTTAACCTGTTAGAAGCTCAAAATAATTTTTGCTCCAGTTTTTCTAAACACACACACACACACACACACAGAGAGACACACACACACACACAGAGAGACACACACACACACACAGAGAGACACACCTGTAGTCATCAAACGTGAAGCTGTCCTTCAGGGGCAGCTTGCTGGCGGCGGGATGAGTCTGGGGATGGAGAGGAAAATGGGAAGGAATAAAAAAAAAAAAAAACACAAATCAGTACGAGGACTTTCATTATGCAGGTATGCTGGAGGGGGGTAGCCTGACAGGACAGCCTAACAAGAAGGACTGGGAGTAGGGGGCCACCACTGGGGTGTGTGTGTGAGTGTGTGTGGTCTGTTGGTGCAGCGTGACACTCGACCCCCCACATACATCACTGTCAACTTAATTTGTTGTGGCCAGCAGCCGTCATAAATCTGCCTCATCAATTTGGGCTTGAATCAGTGTGCGCCGTGTGTGTGCCCACAAATGTCACTGGTGTCTCCATTTAAAGCCGCAGACGCCACCGACCAACAAACATCTGCAAACTGGTGAGGATTTCATCAGGAAAAGAAGATAAGGAAGATGTTTTCAGAGGAACAGGTTTATTATTGAAGCTGTTGGGTGAAGAACAATAGCATTTGCAGAAATTAAGTTTGAAGCAATATTTAGGCTCTAATCCCTAAAACTAAAGACTAACAAGAATAAATCTAATTTTTACACAGTGGGGAAACAAAATGAAGCCAAGATATTTCATGTAAATGAGTCCTCGAGGCTCAACGGGACTAACCTGTATAAATAAAGATTGAATGTTTTATTTGTTAGTATCCATCCCTGCGTTTTAAGCTGCAACGTCCATTTATTTATTTATGTATTTATTTTCATTCTCAAGCATTGTCTACTGAAGACAGGTCAAGACTCGATGTTGGACAGTCCAGAACCTGTCCCCTCATCTTCCATTCAGCCTTCGGGATGTAAACAGAATGTGGTTTAACACAGTCGTGGTGAAAAATGCTCGGACGTCCCTGGAAAAGACGTGGCCTTGGAGGCAGCAGATGTTGCTATAAAATCTCTGCTGTTCTTCTCTACATTAACGCAGCCATCACAGAAGACTGATCCAAGCCCAGAACATTACAGATCTGGACTTATCTTGATGCGGACACACATGCATGCGCTCATCTTGCACCGCGTTTTGTCCTCGGCTCCTCCTTCCTCGCTCCTCTCTCTTCTCTTCCTCAGATGACCGGGCTGGAAAATTAGCTTGTCACATTGGCTTTGAATTGAATTGACCTGAATGTACCTCGTCCCCAGCCCCCCCACATCACCTCCCAGTTCTGTCTATCAGCCCAGCGGATTCGATGTGTGAATGACCGGCTGTACATGCTCATGTACACAGACAGAGGAGGTAAGCTTTTGTATACAAGTACATAAGAAGCCTGCACTACAGTAGTACAACCTCTACTGTCAAATCTGAGCAGTATAAACCTGAAAATATCTCATTAACTGTTTATTTCATGAAAGTTAAATGTTTAAACATGAAGAGTCAGCACTTGTTAACATTTTTAGAGGCAGTTGGATTGAATTTATGAAGCTTCTTTAAATGCTGTTGTGCGTTTTAAAGTCAGAAGTTAGTGTCTGTATGTCTTGTTAGCAACAGTGTGCGTTAATCCCATTTTACCAGCAATGCTCATAAACACCAGCGTTGTAAAAAGCACTAAAATACACGCAGATTGTCGTTTACATCGGCGCTTAAAATCAAACCGGTGATATTAAGACATCTGTTTTCAGACAAGGGGGGAAAAAAAACTGACATCCAGAACACACGAACACACCAGAGGGAAATTAAAAAATAAACTATACTACAGGAAAACAACAATCTGGGTGGATGGTGATTCTAGTTGTGGAAATATCACACCAGTTCTTTAAATATTCTAACGTTAAACATGATCTACACAAACGTAAACACTGAAATGACTGTTGTTTTAAAACACAAAGCTGCAACGTGGGACTTTAAAGGTGTAAATTCAGTCAGACAGGATAATTTAGTTAATGTTTTATTTATTATACAACATCGTTCAAGTCATTTGAACAGTTTCTTTATTTTTTTTTGTTGAGACATTTCGTCCTTCATCCAAAGGACTTAATCAGTACAAGGAGCCACAAACTCAGTCCCACAAGCAGCACACTCTCATAGTGGACCAACCAGTTTTCTGGTGATAAAATAGCTCCTCGGACTGATGAAGTCCTTTGGATGAAGGTCGAAATGTCTCAACAAAAAAATAAACCGTTCAGATGATCTGACTGAACATTGTTGGACTTTTTTTTTATCTGAACTATTGAGCATGGACTTTGATATTACGCATCATCTTAATTTTTAGTGATGCACCCGCAGACAAATAAATGTTTACTTTGTTTGGAAACATGGAACATCTTACAGGACACAGCTTGGGACACATGTACACCTACTCCAATCAGAAAGTTCAGCAAATCCCCCAAACCTTTCGGTGATCTCTCTCTTCACTCTTGGTCAAAATAAAAACTTTAACCTGGGATTACCAACATCAGCTTGTGTGATTTATTGGATCAGATTCTTGATTATTGTTGAACTTGACTTAAAGACTCTCCAAATTAACTTGCGATGAATCAGTGCAACTGTTCAGCTCCGGAGGTGAGACGTGAGCGCAGAGTTTGACACTGAGGTGTGTGTGTGTGTGTGTGTGTGTGTAGGGGAAATCTGAGCAGCAGTGTTATTAAATACAACAGTGTGTTACTCAGAGTCCACAGTTCAACACTGCAGCTGCTAATGTGATGAACAGAAACACTGATGTGCTGTCAAAACAAGTGAGCCACTACATTTTCCATTACATTGGCTTCAAAAATAAAATGATTTTGTATTTTTGGCACACCCTGCTCCTCGTTTCTCTCTTCACACTCGAACAGAAAATCAAAAAAAAAAAATTTATGTACTTAATTTGTGAAATCTTTGATGATTTTTTTCATGCTTGAGGTGTTTTCGTGTTTTACCTTTGATGCATTATTAAAGCTCTTGAATTTCCTGTGTACTAAATAAATTCTAGAAACAAACCTTTTTACATAGAGACACTAATAAAATCATGAACAAAAACAAGAGTTTCATGCGTATCAATGAAGAACTTTAGGTCTTGTGATTAATAACTCATGCTACCTGTTATAATGATGCTCTGTTGGTTGATCGAGTGTGGTATTGTGAAAGGGACCAGTGTTTCCATCTAAGCTCCCCAACATGAACATTACAAACCAAACTGATTCTTTTCTTTTTTTTTATTCTGTACACAATTATATCATTTTTAAAGAAACTTTTTAATAAAAAAAAAGTCTAATATTGCCAATCCTGCATTCAAAACAAAGCAGTCCAGAGACCAAAAACCCCACCCAAAAAACAACAAGATTAAGCATCTAAACATCATAACAGAACTTGTATCAAAGCAGACATGTGAACATAAAACTGGAAAAAAAAACTCCTTTAATTAAAAACAAAAAACCCTCCAGAATGTAAAAATACTCAAAACTTTCCTCATAGTCCTGCAGCCTTCTTGCACAGTTACTTCAAGTAAACAAGCATAGCTAGGAAACAATGTTCAGAGCAGGAGTGCAGGATTCTGGGAAAATTCCCAGAATGCACTAGGGCAACTGACACTGTCCAATTCTTGTATTTTATGTGCATTCATGCAGTTTTGATGAACCTATAGTTCAGTTTTTGTCCATAAATCATCAATCATGTCTTTAAAACCAACAATGTCTGAGCTCCTTCAACAATAAAACTCTACCATAGTCTGGGGAAAACAAAGATGAGAACAATACTGCCACCTAGTGGTAATATACATATTGACATAAGATAAACAGGATGTTTAATGAACTCTTACATTTAGCAATAAATAACATTTAAACTAGTTTTTACTTTGACAACAAATTAAAAATACAATAAGAGACAAATTGTGGACCATTGTATTTCTAAAAATAAAACTTTAGTGTAATATAGATCTCATGGCAGCTGTTCTGCTACTTCGCAGATTTTCATCTATCGCGGAGGTCTCTGGAACATAAACCCCACGATAGGTGAGGGATCACTTCCTGATCCTTAAAAAAAATCTTTCTCCTCTACATCACATCCAACCTGTGGAGCATAACTATTGACACCATTTAGCATCAGACCTTCTACTTCTACTTTCAGACATGCCACAATATCTGACACTCTTTTCACCTCTACTACATTATTTGCCAACTCCTCCTTCAGGACCACACCTACTCCATTTCTCTTTCTATCCACACTGTGATAAAACAGTTTAAACTCTGCTCCAGTGCTGCATGCCTTGCTGCCCTTCCACTTGGTCTTTTGGACATGCAAATTGATGGGTAACCAGAGATGATGATTATCTGATGTCTCCTCCTGCTGGTTATCAACTAGTACTACAAGTACAAACCTAATTTTCTTTCCTCAGAAAAATCAATCCATCTTTACCTGCTTCTTCCTTTTAGGACATGGAGGTCACTGGTGCCCATATCTAGCAGTCACTATGCAAGAGGTGGGGTACACCATGGACAGGTAGCAAGTCCATCACAGGGACACAGAGAGACAAATGAGACAAACATTCACACTCTCGCTCACACCTAGGGAAAATTTAGATCAACCAGTCTAACATGCATGTTTTGGTCTATGAGAGGAAACTGGAGTACCCGGAGAAAACCCATGCATGCATGGAGAGAACATGCAAACTCCACCCAGAATGGCCCCCTGGCCGGGATTCGATCTAGCAACCTTTTTCCACCGAGAGGCAACAACTCTACCAACTGAGCCACCAGCTGTTTGAAACCACATGAAAACAATTACACCACAAAACCTAAGTCTAAACACCAAGGTCATAAATGCTCTGTATATCAGTTCCATGTATACAAGGTTAGTGTGTGTTGAATCTGCATACCTGCACCAGTTTGTAGAAGTAAGCGTACTGGCGGGCTGTGTTCTTGTACTGGCTCAGGACGTCCTGCACTGCTTGGGTGCCCAGCAGCAGCTGAACGTCGTCCTGCTGGTAGTACAGCGGCGTGTCATACTCCTGAGGAAGACTGTGGATGTACGGCAGCCAGAACGAAGACAGGTTGGCCCGCTCGCACAGCAGGTGGAGGGCCAGAGTCACGTTGCCCATAGCCTGCATGATCCGGTCCTGACTGTACAGAGGACCTGAGACAAAGGGTCAAAGAGGTGATGTGGCTGCAGTGATCACCAAAATACGCATTTAAAGAAAAACTATGACAATCAATCAATCAACCTTTATTTACAATATCCATGAGCTGCAGACTTCATGCAGTATAGATAAAATTTATTAAAAAGTTCTGAATGTTTCATGCATTATCTTTGTTAAACATTCATAATTAATGCCTAAACTCAAGTCACATCTTGATTGTGATGTTTCAAATTATGTCTCCATCCAATCTCTTCTGAACTGGAAAGCACTTTTAACTTCTTACCCAGCAGAGAGTTTTGGGCTGATTCCACCGTCATCAACATCTTCCTGGGAACCCACAAGAACAACTCCTCTGCCTAGGAAAAAACAAGAGTCTTATATCCCTCCACATTTGTCTAATATGGTGTATTTTTAACAGCACAAACTTTATTAGCTGCCACCTTAATGTCTCTGGTGGCCCGCAGGCCATAGCCCTCTGACTCAAAGTTTGCCACAGTAAAGCCGTCACAGGACGCCCCGTTCTCCTGAGCCCAGGACATCAGATCTGAGAAGTAGTCCTCCCTGCTGCCTTCAAACACAGTGGACAAACCTGAGAGAAAAAGAATAAAAGCAACTTATTTCAGAGCCAAACCTGGACTGGAATTCTTTGTATTTCTTCAGCTCCGTGAAAAAAAAAACAACAACTCACCTTTCTGTTTCTTTCTGATCTTCTCCACCAAACTTCGAATCTGGATGTACTCCTCCCACTCTTTGCCAGCAGAGGGCGCTGCATTGCTGCACTCTGACAAATCCACACAAACACAACTATAATACAACAAAAACAGAGAAAATCTGAAGGCAGAGATGCTACTGGCTGAGAAACAGACTTTTAGTTGTCCCTTCTGAGGTTTAGATGTCCATTAGTGAACAAAATCATTCTCAATATTATGAGGTGGAAAAACGATCTGTTTTGTTTTAATATCATTTGGTACGTAACAGAAATGAATCCCCACTGTTCAGACTAAAGACGGATGAAGCATGAACATACTTTGCAGCAGTTCAGAGATCAGGTTCATCATCTCCTTTGGGGAAACCACAGTGCTGGCCCCGGTGCCGGACTTCTGAGTCTTCACTCGACTCTTCTTTCCCATGGTTCTGGACAGATGACTGGTCAATACAACAAAGCACAACACTATTAGACAGAAGCATATCATACAGCCAGGACAGCTGTCTATTGCTGAAACACACTCCAAAAAAAATTGAAGGGAAGGAATTTAGGGCTTGTCGTGGGGTACAGCGTAAACATTTTGTGCTTTCACAGAGAAGAGTATCATGAAATCACTCAACAAAACTTGAGGAACTTCAGAGTGTAAATGAAAAGGAGAATGGAGCAAGCTTCAACAGAGCACCGTGATCACCGATCCCTCAGGTGCCATCACATCAAGAACCACCATTTATCAGCAGTTAATGGAACAACAAATACAAGGGGTTACCGTACTTAGGGAAAGTTTAATTTTATGGCAATATCTGCTGCCTTCAAGACCATTAGATCTTTTACAAGGACCGTCCGGGCATTTTTCACTAAAATTATGTAAAACTAAAATCTTAAGATTTCAAAAGGCTGTATGTCTAAAGTCTTGACAGGCCTCTAATAGAAACTGTTGGAAAATTTAAAAACCAAAAATGTGACAAGGATGACCCGGTACTGTTGGACACCTTAACATGTGGTTGAAAGAAAAATGGGAGAAAACACCTGAAACTTTTCATTTGGTATTCTTGGATTCAGAACATTCAATGTGATGATAAAATAAATAGAATGATTACAAATGTTGGAACAACTTTTTTTATATGTTGCAGCCTGAAATGCAGAAAAACATGACACAAAAAAAAACCTATCTCTAGTTTATACAGTCCGACGTGAAACAAGAAATTTTCATCTTAGGTGCATGTCCACTGTGAAAGACATAATCTAAAAAAATAATAATAAAATCCGGATATCACAATGTAAGATTTTTTAATAATTTATTTGTGTGTTACTGCTGCAAATAAGTATTTGAACAGCTGCCAATCAGCAACAGTTCTGGACCTCAAAGACCTGTTGGTCCGCCTCTAAAAAGTCCACCTCCACTGATTATTCTAAATTAGAAGCACCTGTTTGAGGTCGTTAGCTGCATAAAGACACCTGTCCACCCCACAATCAGTTAGAGCATTTGAAGATGGGTCGTGGCTGGGTCTTCCAACATGACAATGACCTGAAGCACACAGCCAGGAGAACCAAGGAGTGGCTCCGTAAGAAGCACATCAAGGTTCTGGAGGGGACTAGCCAGTCTCCAGACATAAACCCTATAGAAAATCTTTGAAGGGAGCTCAAACTCTGTTTCTCAGTGACAGCCCAGAAACCTGACTGATCTAGAGAAGATCTGTGGAGGAATGGGCCAAAATCTCTGCTGCAGTAAACCTGGTGAAAAACTACAGGAAACATTTGACCTCTGTAACCGCAAACAAAGGCTACTGCACCAAATATTAACATTGATTTTCACAGGTGTTCAAATAATTATTTGCAGCAGTAACATGCACATATTTTTTTTAATTATACACTGATTTCTGATTTTTTTTTTTTTTCAGATTATGTCTCACAGTGAACATGCACCTAAGATGAAAATGTCAGACCCCTCCATGATTTTTAAGCGGGAGAAGTACATGCATGCACACTGTTGTGTCATCTATATTAATGAATTAGATCTCTTTGTTGAAAGATTAAAAGGTACTGGTTTTGATCAAATTGATTGTGTTTCTCCTTAAAGCGAGCCTCCAAGTCCTAAAGAGAATCCTTTTTAAAGAAGAACTGATCTGTAGGCATTTATACTGTTCTGTTTGTTCCTCCCAATTCTACTGATTTTTAGAAACTGCAGGAGCTGCCTTAGATTTGACTTCTAATGGTTGTGTAATGTTATGCAAACTATTACAAAACTGTGCAGCGTCCCACATAAAAAAAAAAAAAAAAACAATTAGCAAAATATAAAGAAAGGAGGAGCGAGTCGAGGCTTTTGCATGGTTCCTTATCTCACAAACTGAGATTAATGTTGAGTAATGCAGCGGATCGAAACGTTTTCAGCTTCAATTTCACACCGACAGCAGACGTGTGACCCTCACTAGCACTATTAAAGTTATACAAGTTGTTATAGAACTACTGACAAGTTAAAGCATAGAAACAACACAAGCAGCTAAGAATCATTTAATCATTTACAATGTCTGCTTTAAATTATTTTAACAATACAACTAATGTGTTATCTACAAACACATCCAGTGCTGGACTGAAAGCAGCAGGGGTTCAAAGTCACTTTGGGAGAACACTGCGTGCTCCACAGCACATTTGTCTAAAAAAAAAAAAAAAAAAGTACTGAACAGTCAAGAACATCTTTAAACATTTATTAAATTTACTTGATTGTAAAAAGACCGAACACAGTTCACTACAGACTCAGTTTTTACATGTAAAAGCACAAAAACTGAGTGTCATGGAGCTACTATGAAGGCATTCTGGCAAGCATCAATCAAAAAAATTACAATTGTTCTATTGTCCCATGTTGTACTCAATGTTATGTTTTCACCTATAGTGCTGCTGGTTTGAGATGTTTTTTTGTATTACAAAAAATCAGAGTTTAGTTTCCACAATCTTTGACCATGCTGATGAGCTCAATCATGCTTCAAATGACATGGCAATCGCCAGCTGAAAATCTGGCATTTCCCTCGTTTTTGATGCATCTATGTTAAAATGTTTGAGTTTGTGACCACAGTACATGACACATATACAAAAATTAACACAATGGATTCAGCATGATGTTTAATAGCATCTGTCTGAATATTTTTTTAAGTTGTATATGCAAATTTAGGAAGCAGAGTGCAAATATTGATTCAGAGACATTGCTAAGGACCATAGGCAAAAACCCACTCTGGGCTGTCAGCCTGAGTTCAAAACATGGATATATATTTATATATCGCATTTTTTGCCCTGCTCCCCTCAGGCAGGAAGTTGTGGAGCATTAAGTGTAGAACCACTAAACTGAGGAACAGCTTCTACCCTGAAGCTGTTAGACTCATGAATTCCTGATCAGGATTATCACTGTAATGCCACTTTGACTTGATCTGTGCTGCTGATTATCCATGCTGCTGATGTCTTGCCTTTAAGCTGCTATATTCATATCCATCTGCTCACAACAGACTCGTGTTCAGGCTGCTGTTTAATTCACTGTATTATATTATTATTGTTTAGCGTATATCTTAGATCCTTGTATACTGTTTCTACTTTATATTTTTGCTATTTTTGCGTGTAACTGGGACCTTAAGTACACAATTTTGTTGCTGCGAATGACAAATAACCTTGATATATTTGAAGAAATATTCCGTGCTACGCCCCAATGACTCTTTAAGTTCTTTGATCCCAGTTGTTGGCAGAAACTGGTATGAAATGTGTTTATTCATCCTCATCTGCTCACACAGACTCATGTTCGTGCTGCTGTTTGGCGCATTGTTTTGTACTATTTAGGGGTGCACAGACTGCAGTTTTCTGGCCGATCACCGATTTCTAAAAAGTCTGACCTGCCGACTCCGATTTTGTTTTATAAGCAACACTGTGAGGTGTCATAAGGTCACAATGCACCTTCAATTTTCCAATCTTATTGTATTGAAAAACATACCCTAGAACAATATCCTAGAAACAATATGAACTTGTTTTAACTGGCCATGAGGTAGTGCTCTGAAATGTAAATGAAGTTTAGACAATTGTTAAAACTTTGGTGCACCCCTAGTACTATTAATGTTTTTCTTTACAATTTGTACTTTTGTTGGATGTAACTGGGACCCTGTGTGCATAGTTTCATTCAACCTCATGTACCACATGTGACGTGAATGACAATAACGAACACTGAACCTTTGAAATATAGTGTAAGAAATTAACCAGAGCTGTAATTTTCACTTTTAACTCAGTACATCTTAATCTAAAATGCAAATGTGAGCAGGCTTCCAGTTGACCTCTGACCTTTTTGCTAGGCTTTATTGTGGTCATCTTAGGACCGCCCACTCGGTGTTTCACGACCCCCCAGTCAGTGACTGTGACCCTAACTTTGACAATTTGGACAATGAACAAAATTAAACTGGAATGTTCAGATTTAAAAACAGCTAAACATCTCGTTATTCACACGTAGAAGTAATATTTCTCACAAAGCAGACTTTTGATCTTGTCCAAGTTAAGGTAAACAAAATTCTGGTGAACAGAGTTACTTAAGTCAACGCTACAGGAAGTTTGAACGCAGACCAAGCTAACGACGCTGAAATGGACACGATTCCGCCTCATTTCTGCCAACTGAGCCTCAACTCGTTTAAGCTTCTCGGTTAGCAGAGGGACATTACGACCAGCCCAAAGAAGTCAAAACTGAGGCGGGTCAGGGAAACGCCCGCAGCTCATTCATCCACTGACTGAGGAGCTAACTGCTGCTAGCTACTTAGCCGTCAGAACGTTTGGTCGAAGATGATTAATCAGCTTCAACAACGTCCAGGACACATTCATGTATCCACACGAAGAAAGTGTCAAATGCAAGTCTGAAATTTGTAAAAACAAGTCGTTAAGGGTTTCATTTCGTCGTTGGGTCATACCTTTTGGAAGTGACAGCAACAGCTCCTCTCCTGCGATCGAACCAACCTTTACTGAGCCGCGCCGCTGATTGGAGGAGCCGTGAAGTACACCCACAAACAAGCTGCGCTTCTGGCCTTCTGATTGGCTGAACATAGAGCACGAGGAACATGCGTGTTTAGTATGGTGCGTTTAAAAGCATGGAAAAGTCGGATTTTTTTTACTCCTCCTGAAAAGCGTCATAAAGTTGATAAAACATTTAGATTAAAGCACTTGATTATCGTAAAGAATATTTGAATGAGTTTATTTATTAGAACTGTGACAGTTTCACATTTTCACCACCAGAGGGGGATAAAGCCTGTCTGTTCACGATTAGAGAGGAAAGTGAAAAGATTCACAAATTCCATTTTTAAATGATATTTGGAATCAGAAATGTTTAATAAAATGTAATTTTATTTTGTTTGTTCACAGTTTGTAGCTACACAATGTCAGTGTCATTTTCCTTAGCACAGAGGGTTTAAAATGTAAATGCATATTTTATCAGAAACATTTTAATTTTAATTTTAGTTTTTTTTATTTAGCCTAAAATAAAAATAGTTGTTTCACTTATGTTTGTAGATGCAAGCTTTGCTGCATCTTTAGCAAACCAAACTAAACCAAAAACCTGCAGTTTAGATTTACGAATAATCATAGAATCAAAAAAGCTCATCTTCCACCATTATATATGTATATATATATTTTTTTTAATCAATTCATATTGCAGTTTAAAACGGAAATCCACATTGTGTTTGAAAACAGTTCTGAGTGGTGACCAGTTGTCAGATCTATTCTCACTCCGTCTAAATATAAGATGTTATTTAAGTCTGACTTCACAGAGCAGGTTTCACTTGCAGTCAGGCCCGACACTCGGCAAAGAGGCTAAGAGGAGAAGGTCCACCTTGTTCAACCGTTTACTATAAGCCTCAAGTGAGTTTATTCACTAAAAGCCTTTATTCAGCAGAGTTTTCCTTATGGAGAATAAATCTGGCTAGTATTTAAATTAACTGCACAGTTTTATTTGCTAAGCTTTGAGACGTCGCTCCCTTCAGTCACAGTTCTCACATGTGATGTTTTGAACTGAATGTTTTGTGAACTGCAACCAATTTGTGTCGCCTACGTGATGTAGAAAATAAAGGATGGTCCTCTGTTCCTGAGAAGTAAAACCTGAAAGCAACTGTTTACCCATAAAATAACAAGTTTTCTTTTGGTTTTCCTCAGAGCATGGGAGACTCGCAGCAGTTTGACTTCTACCAGATGGGATATTATGTAGACGACCAGGGCCGCACTGTGGCTTTCTATGAGTAAGTAATGCCTTTAAGATCAATTCAACTGTGGGAGATGTACCTCAGAGTCAGGACTGTTGATCCGACTACTGAGAACATCTCTGTCTGCAGAACGTCCAAACCTTTTCATTCGTAATCGACAAAGTGCTTCTAATGTGTTTCTCGATGAGGAAAATGTCTTTTTTTTTTTACCAACACAACATGTAAGTCCTACCAGTATTCTAGGAAAAGTGCTTTTGAGCTTGTGATAATGGACAAAGTTGTTGACAGATTCCTATAGCAAAAAAAAAAAATCTCCAAAGTCAGTCAGGGGCAGATCAAGATGTGAATTAGGAGTAAAACATTGTCAGAAGAGATCAGAACGGTGTATTGATCAATAAATCATTTCCCTCACACTTTGCAAATGTTGGCAATAACTATTTAATATCTACCATAGCTGAAAATTTCTTCTATTACTTGTTACTTTATTAAGCAAAGTTTGACTTTTAAAAGAAAGATGCGTTTCAGGTTTGAAGGAATCTCAGAATCACAGTTTTTTTTCATCTTCCACATATTTGTGCAAATGTGAGATGATCGTGATGTTTGTATCTGTGCTGATTCAGTGAACCGCAGGACGTCATTCCAGATGTTCAGGATCCTTTCATGGAGCAGCAATACACAGGAGAGATCTATCAGCCAACGCACACCGCCACATATGGAGATTCTCCTGAGGATGAACCTCCTCTTCTTGTTGGTAATTAGATATAGAGCACGTAAAGACCATATGACAGTCTAATATTTACACACCCACCCATGTTTTAATGGCTGATGCTTGATTTGGACATGTCAATCTAAAGAAAAGTAGTTCAGCTCAACTTTTAAAGCCTTACATAAACACTGGCAGCAGGTCCTAAAAGGCTTTTAGTAAAATCTCAGATTATCTCTGAGTTTTCTGAACTGACCAGCCTCTCCCATCCACTCTGTGGATTTTCCAGAACTTGGAATTGATTTTGACCACATGTGGCAGAAGACGCTCACTGTGTTGAACCCTTTCAAGCCTGCTGATGGCAGCATCATGAATGAGACAGATCTGACAGGTCCCATCCTCTTCTGCATCGCACTGGGCGTCACTTTAATGATGGTGAATCCCTAATGCATGACTTGTTGTATTAAACACATTTCTCTGACCATGCATGTTTGTGGAACAAAGCCTCTAAATGCTTCCTTACTAACATCCACACCGTCCTAATAAGTCTCTTGTTGTTGAGCGTCATTTCTAACCCAGTTATAATAGTGTGAATGTTTTCGCCTCAGTTTTCAACAAATCATAAATCAAAACGTTCAGCTCTTTCAGGACAATCTATGACTTTTGGTATTGGTGCAACTTTAGCTTTTTGAAATGTTTAGCCTTTTCTGTCACTTTTTTTTTTTCTCATCGAAAATGAATTGAGCTCATTTTACATCCTTCAAATCTTTAGATCTGTCTACAACCTTTTATTGCTCCTTTCACATTTTGTTCTGGTTCAGCTTCTTTCAGCTACCTTCTGCAAATTTAAACTTTCAGCTAATTTCAGCTGTTTTGTGCTCCTTTCATATTCGTTTGATAACTACAAAATTTTTGTACTTCTAACTTATTTCTGCTAAGTTCAGCTTGTTATGCTCCTTTCAACTTATTTTTTTTTGTGTGTAAGTTTCAGTTTTTTCTCTACTATTTCAGCTACTTTAGCTGTTTTGATGCTAATTTAAGCTTTTTCAGCTGATTCCACATTTTTGCACTCATTTCAGCTTTTTTCAGCCTAATTCAGCAAAATTGCGCTCTCTCCACTTCCTTCTTGTAATTTCAGCTTCTTTTTACTTTTTTAATCTATTTTTCAGCGTTTTTTTTCTAATTTAATTATTTTTTTTAGATAATTTCCACTTTTTTGTGCTAATTTTTGCTTATTTCAGCCTAACTGGCAAATATGTGTTCTTTCTGCTTTCTTCTGATAATTTAAGCTTGCTTTACCCTTTCAGCTTTTTTGTTGTTGCTAATTTCAGTATTTTTTTAGCTAATTTCCTAATTTTTGTGCTAATTTTTTAAAACCTCATTCAGCAGGTATGTGTTCTTTCTGCTTTCTTCTGCTAATTTAGGCTTGTTGTTCCATTTCAGCATGATTTTAACTAATTTCAGTTGTTTTTAAGCAGGCTCTTCTGCAATAAGCATTCACATTGCACTTTTGCAGGAAATGCAATTTCTCTATTTTCAATAACTATTTCGTCATTTTTAAATTGCAATCAGCTGTGAGATCCTAACTTGCAAATCTTCTCTATTCAGGCGGGTAAAGTCCACTTTGGTTATGTGTACGGGATCAGTGCCATCGCCTGCATTGTGATGTACATGTTGTTGAGTCTGATGAGCGCCCTGTCAGTCTCTTACGGCTGCGTGGCCAGTGTCCTCGGGTACTGCCTCCTACCGATCGTGGCCCTCTCTGCATTCGCCGTCTTCTACTCTCTGCAGTAAGACTATGGTTGAGCTTTGTAGTAACGACAGCAAATTCTTTGTGTTTTTCTTTAAAAAATGCTGCTTGAACTGTTCTAACATTACAGAGAGCCATAAAATAAAAATGAGCATGATTCACTTTGGTTTTGTTGCAGGAATAACAGGTCACAATGTTAGGGAGTGACTGTTTATAGATCAGCAAATATTCTAGAACTTTATTGTTTAAGTTATCCATCCATCCATCCATCCATCCATCCATCCGTCAGGTCATAGAGTCAAGAGATCCAAGAGGTAAACCAGACCTCCCTCTCACCAGTGACACTCTCCAGCCCCTCTGGGGAATCCCAAGACCCAGAGAAAATGCATATAACCATGTCCATTGAGTTCTGGGTCTGTCCCTGGTTCTCCTCCCAGTGTGGGGATCTTTCAAAAGGAGGTGTCCAAGAGGCCTCCAAGTCTGAACTGCCTCACCGGACTCATTCTGATGTGTTGATCCCCCTTCACTTTATCTCCAAGATGGAGCCAACCATACAGAGAAAGCATCGCTTGTCCACTTTTACTGAACTTCTGTTTGCTGAAGGTGGTGAGTTGAAGGCACCAAAAGAACCAGATCTGCAAAAAGCAGAGCCGAGACCCTGAAGTTTCTAAGCCAGCTTCTCTCCATGACTGCTCCTAAAGATCCTGTTTATGAACACCACAGATATCAGAGACAAGGAGCAGCCTTGGCAGATTTCATCTCACATATGTATCATGGTTTTAGCTCATTTGTCGATACAGATGCAAACATGTGGCTTCATTACATTTAGCAGAAAAATGTCAATTTGGATGGATTGAAGTAAACTGTCTGTTTATTCTCCTAAAATCCCTGCTGCTCATTAGTGAAAACAGCTGAAACAGATTTTAAAACAAAGTGGCTTGATTGCTGAGAGTGTTGAAATCTTTAAAAGCTTTAGCTTTTAGTTTAAATATTTATGAGCTCATTCAGGATCCAAGCAGGACTCACGCCCATTATGACTTTAGTTTTTCTGTTGTTTGTTGCAGAGATGCTCTGGGAACAGTTCTGGCCTTGTTAGCCATTTGTTGGTGTAGTTTCTCAGCCTCCAAGATCTTCATCTCCACGCTGGCGATGCACGAGCAGCAGCTGCTGGTGTTTTACCCGTGTGTCCTGCTGTACGGGCTCTTCACTCTGCTGACTGTGTTTTAACCTTCACCTGAATCAAACTCAATTTAAAACAATCTGACATGCAGGAAACACGTTGGATAATGTGATTTTTTTTTTTTTTTTTTTTGTAAGATACTTAATAAATATTTCATTTTTGAACAAACTTGGAGATTTGAACTCCTGACAATTGGTTCTTGCTAATTTAAAAACAATTACTTTAGATTTAAAGTAACTTTTCAGCTCTTTTGTTGTACTTGCACTCTAAATAAATATTTACAGGAGAACTGAAGATGGCTCTTTGCTTTCTCTAGAAAATTTACTTTTTACCTTCTTTTTGCTGCAGATGGTGCTAAAACATCATAAAAATGCTCAAAAACATGTTTCCTTCCATTTTATTGGAGCACTAAACGCTTTTCTTGTTTTTTACTTCTTGAGTCTATTTGCTGCAGAAACATTTTTCTATTAGTCCTGCTGCTGTCTTAATTAAAACTTGTACATGTTCCAAAAGTAAAAAAAAAAAAAAAAAACAGCTGCAGTTTTCATATTTGTAGTAGAGGTCAATGCCAGAAACCCCTGCTGGATGATGTTTGATCCCTGAATGAGACACTATGATGTCACAGTGATAAATATCACCACATAGACTTGGGAAAACCTTGGAAAACTATTGTCATTGACACAAAAACACAACCTGAAAGTGTGGACACGTTCTGTGGACACAAGCTGTTTATGGACAGTGTGTGCTCTGTGGAGAGATGCATCTATGCTTTTGAAACAAATGGACATCTAGTTCTAGGAGCCGAAGATAAAAACAGCATTCAGACTGTTATCAGTGAAAGATGGAAAGGGCAGTATCTGTGATGGGACGGGGTAGAGGGTATCAGCCTCCTGCAGACGGGTGACGAGACCACTGACGCAGAGGAGGAGGAAAATGTTTGGAGCATCATGAAGAGGAGAGTCCTACAGATGGTTCAGCTGCTGAAATCCAGGATTCAGTAAGAACAAACAAACAAAAAAATACTTTCCTCTGTTCCAAATGACTAAACCAAGTTACTAAAAAGAAAACGATAGGAAACACTATAGCATCATGGGTGGGTTCCAACATTTTTATATTCCAAAGTTGGCATGTGGCGGCACAGTGGGTTGTTGGAGCTGCCGCCTCTCAGCTAGAAGGTTGCCAGATCAAATCAGCCGAGGCCTTTCTGGGTGGAGTTTGCATGTTCTCTCCGTGCATGTGTGGGTTTTCTCCGGGTACTCCGGTTTCCTCCCACAGACCAAAAACATGCATGTTAGGCTGACTGGTAACTCTAAATTGTCCTTAAGTGTGACTGAGAGAGTGAATGGTTGTCTCTTTGTGGCTCTGTGATGGACTTGCTACCTGTCCAGGCTGTCCCCCACCTCTTGCACAGTGACTGTGGGCACCAGTGACCCCTGTGACCCAGGTTTTGAAACAGTGGCAATGCGGGTTATAAAATTAAACAACATTGACAGCACGATGGATCAGTGGTTAGCGCTGTTGCCTCACAGAGAGAAAGTCCAGGATTCAGTCCCAGGTTTGAACCTGGGCTCTTTCTGTGTGGAGTGTTTGCATGTTCTCCTCGTGTTTGCATCTCCGGGTACTCCAGTTTCTTCCCACAGTCAAAAAACATACATTAGGCTGCCTTCAAGTCCAGACCTCCCTTGCAAAAGCGATCTGTGGTCTCTATAGGATTTGCCTGTTAAATAAAGGAAAAATAAAATAAAAACAGTATCAATGTGAAATTATATTTAACAACTTTATAAATAATTTTGAAAACGTAACAGAACTCATTTTCACACAACACGTGAGACGTATGGGGGCTGCGAGTGGACCCTGACAGCATCACCCAGTGATGTTCAACAGACAACTTCGCTTTCGGAGCAGGGGGAGACGGGGAGGCAGGGCGTTGATGTCCACACAGTTTGCTGTGATATTAACAGCATGTAAGTTCTAAGGACTGCAGGTCAGGTGGATCTGGTCCCTCAAGTGTTGCACAAGCCAAGAGTTTGGATCTCTGAGGGAACAAAATATTGAGGCCATGATCTCTCTCTGCTTTGTGTTTCCTCTGGGTGTGGGAAACTACGATGGCATGGAGACTAAGTGAACAGAAACACAAAAATGTTTTTCTGCTAAAGGGTAAAAACTGATTTTTAGTTATTATTATTAAATTAGGTTGCATGGCACAAAATATAAACAAAAACTTTATAGGGCAAACTTTTGTTTCTAGGAGCCACACTTGTAACATTTGAACCACTCGTCTTTACGAGATATTTCTACTATTTAGCTTTACATCATAGTTTATCTTATTATGGTTGGGTAAAGGTACAATTTAGGTTGGAGACGCCAGCATTTCTGACTACCACCGGTGGTATTTGAACCACAATTTGAGAATCATGGAGGATTTCAGTGAAATCTACATTGCTATGCCAGGGCTACATTGCTGCGGAATGAGTTTCTTGTCCATTTCTTGATTAAATACTCAAAATCATCAACTCAGACCCAAATTTAAGGTAGCAAATTTCACTATTATTATGCGATAATGTTCACATTTGATCGTTTTTCATAGTTTTGTCCAGCCTGTGGCAGTCCCATAATTTGATACATCCTGTCAGTAATCATTCTATCATGTTTTATGGGCTTCACCTACAAAAAAAATCTGATGCTGTTTATTAAAAAGTCCAATACATTTTTTTTCATTGTGTGTACAACACCAACTGAGAAACACTGAAGGTTATCCACGAGACCTTTTGCAAACATCACTTGTGGCTACTATTGTGATTTTTGCAGACAGGAAATGCTCATTTAAAATGATGAGTTGCAAAACTATTTGGACCTCTGTGATCTGTTGTTTTTCCTTGACAGGGCCAAGTCGAAATAAAAACTATGCGTACTTTGTAATAGAGATAAGAAATCTACAGTTGTTTTGTAATTTGTGTTGGTTCAAAAGTCAAACCCAGAGGAGTTTTTGTTACAAAACCTCTACATCTCTGGCTACTTTCTTGTCTTGAACCATTTCAGAATATTTCCTGATTCTAACCTTTGAGGGTAAATGGCAGAGCCAAACCTAAAGTGTGGCTCTAACCTCAGCTCAGTGTAATATAACCTTTTAATTGATCAATTCCTCCGAAGGCCGTAGAGTCAGAATACTTGATCCCAAATCCTCAGTTTGAACCGAAAAAAAGAACACTAGTGATAGCATAAACAATAGCCAAGGATTGTGTTTATATTAGTGAGCGTACACCCCCCTGCAGAGGGAATATATGTGAGGGAACATGTGTGCATGTTTGACAGAAAGCAGAGGGAAAGGAAAGGACAATCCCACAATGGGACTGTGAGGAGCAGGCCCAGTCTTTCTTCTCCTAACTGTTTGGATTGGTTAAAGCAAACAAATCCCTCCGGCCAAGCGGTAGGCTCAAGACAAGCACTCCCTGGGCCCCGCATAGTCCTCCTGCTACTTTACACTAAACTCTTCCAGATGATTTATGAGCTCAAAGTTCTCAGAGGCTCGCTGATGCTCACCTTTCAGAGCACGGCTGACAGAGCCCTCTGCTCGGCGCGCTGTGAGCCATCATTAACCACAGCACCCTGCTTTAACTCGCCTCCTCTCTGCTGCACTTTAAGGATGCAATATGGATCAGAAATGTTTGGTTTACTTCCTGCTTTTATGATGATAAGATAAATCTTAAGGGTTTCCTGGAAGAGTGTGCAAATCTGGTGATTTAATAAACCATGCTGATTTTCACGTCCCCCTGAATGACCATATCTTCAGGACAATTAGATGAGGGAATATTGAGGTTTAACATCCAGCTGTCTGTCTGTGGCCAGGTCTCAGAAGTAGCAGGTCCAGAAGGGGAACCCACACATCCCTCTTTCAGTAAGTTCTGAGTCTGCCCTGAGGTCTCAGTAGGATGTATTCAGAAAACCTCCATAGAGAGACGTCCTAATCAGATGCTCGAACCACCTCAGCTGACTCCTTTAGATACGGAGAGGCAGCAGTTCTATCCCAAGGACAAAACTCCTCACCTGATCTCTAAGGCTAACCAATTGTTAGTGCCCTGATGGCTGCTTGCTATTCCAAGAGGGCTGACTGATACTTGAACTAACAGCGCTGAAAAGGGTGACAGTTGAACACAGAGGCCTCCACCTGTTTAACAATGGATGGGTTCTCTTCACAAAGATGGCTTCCTTTACTCTTCTCTCAAACCAGCATTCCTCTCTATCAAGGATGTTAAAATCTTCATCCCTGAAAGTGTGACTGCTGGCCTGCAGAGGAGTGCAGAGTCCTGGCCTGATGATGTTGATCTTCTGTGCTGGGCCATCCTTTTGGCCAGTGGCTGTTTAGTTTCCCCAATGTAAGACCGATCACAGCCCTCCCAGCGCTGAACAGCATACTGTGTCTGAGGACTGTATATTTGTGATGAACCATCCTTTGCCATAATGTATTTTGGGGTTTAAAAGCCACTGGGACGTCATGTTTAGAAAATAAATGTCTGTTTCACTGAAACTCCCACAACATACTGAATGACCACTGTTCTGGGTATGGGTTCCTTTTCACCTGATTCTCATTGAACAAAGAAGAATCTGTCCAGAGGACCTGGCTTAACCTTGTTAGAGCTAATTTTTAACCTTAACAGAGCTGAGTAAGGCTCTCATTACTGCAGACAGAGCCCTGGTTTGTTGGTCCATCATCCGCTTTATCCTGCCATCACCTGTAAACACCAAAAAGTGCTGTGTGTTGTCATGATTGTATGTTTCCATACAACGATGAAAATTGTGTTCTGCATTTAACCCATCACACGTCAGATACACCCAGCTGGAGCGGTGGGCAGCTATGTAGGTGCATGGGGAGCAGTTAGAGATTAGGTGTCTTGCTCAAGAACACGACATGTGGGCATGAAGGGGAGTTGAACCCACAACTTTCTGGTTCCAAGTCCGCTTCCATACCTCTACATCACAGTGGTCCCTGACTGTGAAACAAATTGCCCTTTGGCAATAATGAAGATGCTTGAACTTGAAACATGACGCCAAGATATTCACGCTCCTCCACTTGAGACCATTAAATGAAATTATAATTCAGTGTTCATATTTAGTACGTATAT